CCCCCCCCCCCCCCCCCCAAGATCTGCGCACCTCTCCCTCCCTCTCTACTTTCCTCACTCCTCCCTCCCTTCCTCTCTCCCCCCCTCTTCTCCACCACTTCTACTTTGCCCGTCCTTCCCCGTCTCCCCTCTCTCTTCAAACGTAACATGATCTAACATATATGTATGTACATAGAGATATCTGTTGTGCAATCTTACAAACCATCTTGTTATATATGTATCATGCAACATACGGTGGCCGAGGGACCGGATGACCCCTGAGCGCCCTGAGCGGCGGCCACCTCTCCGAAGACGACGCCTCGCGGACCTCAGGCCCAATCAAGGCGCCTAGAAGTTTGGGTTTTAGGTTTTTAGGTGTTCGAGGGTTTAGGGGTTTAGGGNNTTAGGGGTTTAGGGTTTGGGGGTTGTGGGGTTTAGGGGTTCGGGGTTTGGGGGGTTAGGGGTTTAGGGTTTGGGGGTTTAGGGGTTTAGGGTTTCGGGTTTGGGGGCTTGGGGGTTTAGGGTTCAAGGGTTTAGGGTTGGGGGTTTAGGGGTTTAGGGGTTTGGGGGTTTAGGCTTTGGGCGTTTAGGGGGTTAGGGGTTTAGGGGTTTAGGGGTTCAGGGTTTGGGGGGTTAGGGGTTTAAGGGTTTGGGGTATTGGGTTTGGAGTTTAGGGGCCGGTGGAGCCATAGCAATCAGCAAGAAAGAAGAAGGTCGCTCATCGTCGGCATAGCCGATACACCGAGCGGTTTGATACCAGTAGCAAAGATGCCCCTGCAAATTGAACAAGCTTGTCAGGGCTGTAGAATACTTATGTTGGTGGGGGCGGGTGTCGCATATCACCTAATCTACCCTACTAAAATCTAATCGATTCTAGTGTAATCTTTTCTAATGATATGAACTACTACGATATAGCATGCTGTACGTAGGACTAAAAACCTATATCCCGTATGCTGTATGCATCCTTCAAGTGTGAGGCTTCAAATACCTTCATGCGAAGCGCCGAATCTCGCCCCTATTCGACAAATCTCTGTCCCCAAACTCAACATCCGTTGATGCCCAACGAACCAAACAAATCCGACCTTTGAAGATCCGAAGTGCTTCCTTACCGCAGCTATGGAAGGTAGCAGCTGGCCCGAGAGGTGGCACGGAGGAAGCTGGCAGCCGAGGAAAAGGCTAGCCGGAGTTTCGTCGTCGACACGAAAAATTTCAGGCGAAGACATCGTGGTCATCACGCACTTAAGCAGCATGATCATGATCTAATCGCCATCGTTGCGCCGTAGCCAGAAGCATCATCACAGCAGATTGGGCACTTAAGTCGAGCATATGTGGCTATGTGGCAGAAGGGCATGTCCAGTGGACCAGCCAGACGTCACTCTAAAAGGGACTGCCCTGCCACAAGGTATGGGCGGGAACAGTTGCAGTAGGGTTCCGGATTACATCATACCGTTGCTGCATGTACCCAACTGTTAAAGGACCAACACTGCTGATTTCGTGTAAGCAATGCCATGGGTGATGATGATCATGCTGTTGATGCGGGTTGTCGCATTTTTTGTATACTGATTACATCAATTATACTATGGAGGACCAGTGTCTTATCGGCCCAACCTGACCATCCTTCAGCTGACACAGGTCTCGCAGCCCAAGCACGGGCCCAAGACATCAGCCAAGCCGTTTCCACATGGACCCCTTTTTTGGCTTCGTTGTCAGGGGCAGCTACAGGCTCAACTGTAAGCATGAACGGCTTCATGTGCGCATGCCCGCCTCGACCAAGCAACAGTCTAGAGTCTAGACGGGAGGAGTGTTTTCGATGTGCTGTTGCCGGTGTGGTTGCAGCCCGTGCCAGTTGCTGTGCTGGATAATATCCTAGGTCGTGCAGCAGAAGCTCATAAAGCTCTGTTAAGTTTAATATGTCTACTTCTATTCTATTTTTTATCACATTATATCATTCAACAGAGATTGGGTTCAGGCAGGGCTGCCCTTCAACGTGGCAGTGAGCAAGCCCAGGCCCCGAGCTGGTGTGCATAGGCTTGCAAGTCACAGCCAGTTCCCAAACAGCATCAATGTCGTTAGTCAGGATATACATGACATAAGTAAAAAAGCATGTATGTGTATGTGTATATATATATAATATATATTCTTATATACATATTTACATCGTATGTATACATGTATATATATATATAATCTGTCTGTTCATAATTATATGCACATACATGTACATCTGGGTGGCCCCGGCTTGAGCCGCTTCCGCCAGGTCGCTGCGCAGGAGTCAAGTGATCCCTGGACAACTCTGCAGGCCCCTGTATGTCAGCGGCTGGGTTCAAGTCTTGCATTTTCGTCAGGGGCACTGGAGTGTCCGGGGCTTAAATTGGAGCTTGCTTCACAGCTTGAGCAGGCCTGACCTGGAAAGACTTACTTGCAGGCCTAGCTAGTGCACAGCCTGCAGTCCCTTTGAAGTTGCTTCGCACACTGACGGAGGGCCTTTCTGTCACAACCTTGACTACCGTCATGGCAATGCTGCACGCGTGAATCTAACTCCCTGCCAAGACACGGCTGGGGCTCTCAAACTTGAGTATATAAGCTCCGGTTGAGCTCTGTACCTTAAATGACACCTTGCGGTATGGCCCAGGTGACATCTAGGTTTTCAAAATCGGTAGGCCTGGTCGTTGCAAAAGAACCAGGTCAGATAGCCTTAGGCTATGGAATGAGGAGCAACCTCAGTCTTGGCTGGCCCCAACAGTACTACTGCACATGCTTGACAACAGCAACGGTGGTCATGACAATGTTCTCATCCCTTCTACTAGAATAGTAATGTTACCACGGTCGAAATGACGAGGACAGGCATATCAACCATCACAGCAGCAATACAGAGAAGAACAAGCACCGGCACCAACACTGGGACTGGAGATACCTGGCACCCGAAACCCTCTGAAACCCTGAACTTCCCGTACCTAGCACCAGATGCCAGACAAAGAACCTTCCTTGCCGTGTTGCCACCTGAAGCCATGACCCATGGACCTCTCAGTCCACTGGATGTGGCTCCTGGTGACTGGTCCGACAATTGCAGCACTGCTATTTGCGTTACTGATAAGTAAGTGTTCTTGGTACATGCCAGTGGCTTTGTCTGGGAATTGCTGTGATGGTTGTTCTGCTTACGCTGTTTCTGATTGTCCGCAAAGTGATTTCTGAAAGACCTTCTCTACGAGCCTGATGGTGATTTGTGCGGTGCCGGTGGGTGAGGCTTGGTCCCTGCCCACATCAGCTCAGGCCTTTCAAGATGTCGTGACACTCCCATGACCGAAAGTCTCGAGTCCGGAGCGGCTGTTGCATCTTTCATGAACTGAGCCCCTCCATCCAAGGCTGGTGCTCTCGGTGTGGTCTTTTGGCCCGGCCCTTGCAACTCCCTTCCCCAGCGACTGTGGCTCGCGAAAGAGCCTTGGCTGCCTCACTGCTTAGTTGGAGCCCAGCACTGTTAAGCCCCAGAAAACCCCTTAGGCTCCTACTGGTGTTTGGGGATGCCTTCACTGTAGGACGGCTCGAGTGTTTATACTTCGACCTGACTGTCATGGTGGGACGAGCAAAACTAGAACAGACACCGACTCCACCACATCGACATGATCCGTCAAAGTTTTTGCCAACATCAGCAACACAAGCAGCAACGGCAAGAGCAACAGCAGCAACAACAACAACCGCAGCAACAGCAGCAGCAACAGCA